AGTGTGCGGAGTCGTGCAAGCCCACCCACAGCCAGCAGGGTCAAGTCAGCAGAGGCACCGAGACCATCCGGTGCTGTGAACACGACCTGTGCAATGAGAGGCTGACCAGCGCCGCACCTGCCCGCAGCCTGCCCGGCGCCACCCTTGGCCTCACGCTGGCCCTCGGCCTCGCACTCCTCTGGGGCCCCAACCTGTGATACCTCCCACCCGTCCCGGGAGGACCCACTGCTTCTCTCCCTTTCCTGGGGGCAGGGAGGTTTCCACGGCCCCTCCCCAACCGTGACGGGTGCTGTGCCAGGCGCCCTGGGCTGGGCCGGCCAGAAGGCCCAGGCCAGGTCGGGGCGGGCACAGAAAGCAGCTGGCCTGGTGAGCCCCTCCCCAAGATGAGGACACAGCACCCCAGGGCCAGCAGAGGGCAGAAGACACAAGTCACTCCCACCCCTTCGTCTTCCTTCTGTTTGGTTTCTGTTTATTTTTCTACTCAAACCTGTGCATGGAATAAATGATTTAATACCAGCGTGACTGTGTCAGTCCTGGGAGTGCAGGAGGTAGGGCAGGCCCTGGGCCACATAGGTCGCTGGAGTTGCCAGCACTTGTCACCTGGAAGCTTGGAATGCCACCATCAACTCTCACCCGCTGAGGGGCCAGGACCTGCCCAGACATCTCCCCTCTGCCCTGGAGGTGCAGGGCAGCTGGGGTGAGGGTCAGGTGGGAGTCAAGGAACAACGGGCTTGGAGGGGAGGGAAGACACCAGTCACAGCCCGAGATTCAGCCAGAACCTCCAGAGAGGCCAGCCCTGGACTGACCCCAGGCCATGCCAGACTTAGGCACTAGACCAGCACCAACTGCCCACAGCATGGCCCCAAGGCAAGTCCAGCGGCCCAAGCTGAGTCCACCATCAAGCCAGCAGCTCACCAGGGTAGGTAGAGCTCACCCTGGCTAGAGCTCACCAGGGTGAGTCAGACAGGGTGGGAGAGCTTGACTCAGAACATAGGGCTGGGTGTGGTCACCCAGAACTTGGGAGGAGCCTAGTCCCTCAGCCTGCTGCCTGGGTCCTAGCCTTCATCTCTGGCATAAGGTGTGAGGCCAAGTGAGAGAGGGGTGCCTGTTGATGTGCAAGCAAGTGCCCATCGCACCCAGAGGACTGGAGGTCCCTCCTCCTAGCAGCCACTACCCTCCTGGGCCTTGCCAGGGACAGTGCAGAGTCTGACTCCCACGGAGCTGGCCCCAAGGACCTGGCCTGGAAGACACAGTGTGGCTCAGCCCTACCTGGCAGTAGCACCTTCTGACCTGGCCCCAGCATTCACCTCTTCACTCTAACTTCTGGGACGAGCCCCTTCACTGCCCGGTTCCAACAGAGGGATGGTTGTGAGAAGTGGGGAGTGAGGGACACTTTTGAAACCCTCCTGGAGGGCTGCCCACCCAGGGCTGCACCCCGTGGCCTTGACCCTTCTGCAGGGACCCTGTCCCACCACCAGGCCACTCCTTGGCTCCCTTGGGCTGCAGCATCATTGGGGACAAGGCTGCTGGGCGCGAGCCTGGCTGGGCCAGTGCACCCCCTGGTAGCTACCAGAACGACACACCTCTGGGTGAGCTCTCACAGCCTGGTTGTGCAGAGGACAGAAAGGCTCCGAATACAGCAGTCCAGAGCATGGAAAAGCCGAGAAGTCACTGCAGAGCCTGGAAAGGCCCCTGACTGCAGTGCAGAGGCTGGGTTCCTAGGCATGGACGCATCCCTGGGTCCATGTGTCCGTCAAGGCCAGGGGTGAGGGGAAGTGACTGAGTGACCCCTGCCTGTCCCACAGCAAGCCTCCAATCCATGGTCAGGGACATCCACCGGGAAGTGCCCAAACAGCCAGCCCTCAAGGAGCCCAGGTGTGGCTGGAGACTCTAGGGTGGGAGGAGGAAGAGGCACCTGGGGTAGACTCTGGGGTGGGAGGAGGAAGAGGCACCTGGGGTACGCACAGCATCCACAGGTGGGGCTGGGTGAGGACCTGGAGGGCAGCTGTGGGGCCCTGGAGGGGGAGAAAGCCTGCTTCCTGGCAGCGCCCTCCTGCCCATCTCCACCATCTTGGCTGCCCCTCAGGGAACTCCCATGGCACCCCTTCCACTGTCCTGGACCCCAGGGACCCATCCCCAAGTAGGACCTGGCCCAGCCCTGAGTGGCACGGCCCAGACGGGGACCAGGAACTGAGGGCGGGCCCCTGGGCACAGCCACACAGTTGCCGGCTCCACCTGCCCAGCAGGGTCCGTGCCCATACCCTAGAGGAGCCTGCAAGGCCTGTGCCAGCACCTCAAAGGAGCCAGCGGGGCCTACGCACCCACACCCACGGGAGCTCCCCGGACTTGTGAGCCATCCAGGGCGCTCCAGCTTCAGCGAGTACGGCAGATCCATGCCCGGGCCTCTGCTCTGCTGGGCAGCGCCCACTCCCCTGTTATGGAGCAATCTCCTCCTCCTCTCACGGAACCCCCCTCCCATAGCCATTCTCCCACAGACTGCTCCCAGCCACAGACACTGCTCCCCACGGACTGCTGCTCCTGAAAGACCTGCTCCCCTCACAGGCAACCTCCCCTCAAAGACAAGGTCTGTCCCCTTCACTGACAGACCCCTTCTCCTCACAGACACCTTCCCACTGACACCCAAATCAACAGACACCCTGCCCTAAACAGTTACTCTTCAAGTCAGACCGCACTCCTCAGACAGCCTTCTGTCAGACATAGTCCCGCACAGACACGCTCCCCTCAGACACCATCCCTCACAGACACGCTCCTCCAAAGATACCATCCCTCACAGACACGCTCCCCTCAGACACCGTCCCTCACAGACACGCTCCCCTCAGACACCATCCCTCACAGACACGCTCCCCTCAGACTCCATGCTCACACAGACACGCTCCTCCTCAGACACCATCGCTGCAAAGACACACTCCTCCAAAGATACCATCCCCTTACATATAGGCTCCCGAGATACACCATCACTTACAGACACGCTCCCTCAAGCACCATCCCCTCACAGACACTCTCCGCTAAGACACCATTCCCTCACAGACACGCTTGCCTCACACAGTTACCTCACAGACACGCTCCCCTCAGACACCATCCCCTCACAAACACGCTCCACTCAGAAACTATCCCCTCAAAGATACACTCCCCTCAGGCTCCATTCCTTCAAAGACAAACAACTCCTAAGACACAATGCCCACAAAGACACGCTCCCCTCAGACACCATCCCCTCACAGACACACTTTCCTCAGACACCATCCCCTCACAGACACCATCCCCTCAGAGACACACTCCCCTCAGACCATCCCCTCACAGCTCAGGCGCAATCCCCTCACAGAGACACTTTCCTCAGACACCATCCCCTCACAGACACACTCCCCTCAGACACCATCCCCTCACAGACACACTTTCCTCAGACACCATCCCCTCACAGACATACTCCTCACAGACACACTCCCCTCAGACACCATCCCCTCACAGACAGGCTCCCCTCAGACACCATTCCCTCAAAGAAAAATTCCTCCTCAGACACCATCCCTTCACAAACACACCCCCCTTAGACACCATCCCCTCACAGACATGCTCCTCCTCCTTAGACAGCAACCCCTCACAGATACATTCCTCCTCAGAAATCATCTTCTCACAGACAGGCTCGCCTCAGACAGTTCCCTCACCAACATGATCCCCTCAGAGACCATCCCCTCACAGACATGCTCCCCTCAGACTCCATTCCCTCAAAGAAAAACTCCTCCTCAGACACTATCCCCTCACAAACATACCCCCCATAGACACCATCCCCTCTCAGACATGCTCTTCCTTAGAGAGCAACCCCTCACAGACACACTCCCCACAGACACCATCCCCTCAAAGAAACACTCCCCTCAGACACCATCCCTCACAGTCACACTGCCCTCAGACACCATCCCCTCACAAACTCCTCCTAAAATAACATCGCCTCACAGACACAATCCCCTCAGACACAATCCCCTCACAGACCCACTCTCCTCAGACACTATCCCCTCAGAGAAATGCTCCTCCTCAGACACCATCCCCTGTCAGAAACGCTCCCCTCAGACACCATCCCTTCACAGATGTGCTCCTTCCAGACTCCATTCTCTCACAGACACATTTCTCCTCCATCACCATCCACTTACTGACATGCTCCCCTCAGACACCATTCCCTCAGAGAAATGGTCTCCTAAGACACCATCTCCTCAGAGACACGTTACCCTCAGAGACCATCTTCTCACAGACACACTCCTCCTCAGACACCATCCACTCACAGACACAGAACTCCTTGGACACCATCCCTTCACAGGCACGCTGCTCCCCTCTGACATCATCCCTTCACCGACAATCTCTCCTCAGATTCCTTGCTCTCACAGACACATTCCTCCTCAGACATCATTCCCTCACAGACACGTTCCCCTCAGACTCCATGCTCTCACAGATGAGCTCCTCCTCAGATACCATCCCCTCACAGACATGCTCCCCTCAGACTCCATTCCTTCAGAGACATGCTTCTCCTCAGACACCATTTCCTCACAGGCAAACTCCTCCTGAGTCAGACACCATTTCCTCTAACATACTCCTCCTGAGACACCATCTCTTCACAGATACGCTCCTTCTCAGACACCAACCCCTCAGAGACATGCTCCCCTCAGACGCCATTCCCTCAGAGAAATGGTCTCCTAATGTACCATGCCCTCAGAGACATGTTCCCCTCAGAAAACATCCTCTCACAGACAGGCTCCCCTCATACTCCATGCTTTCACAGAGACATTCCTCCTCAACATGCTCACCTCAGACACCATTCCCTCACAGACATGCTCACCTCAAACACCATCCCCTCACAGACACGCTTGCCTTAGACACAGTTCTCTCACAGACATGCTCCTCTCAGAAACCGTCCCAACAGACATGCTCCTCCTTAGACACCATCCCCTCATAGACACACCCTCAGACACCATCTCCTCACAGCCAGGCTCACCTCAGACACCATCCCTCACAGACACAATACTCCTCAGACACCATCCCCTCCCAGACACACTCCCCTCAGACACCATCCCCTTACAGATACAGTTTCCTCAGACACCATCCCCTCACAGACACACTCCTCCTCAAACACCATCCCCTCACAGACAGGCTCTCTTCAGACACCATCTCCTCCCAAACAAGCTACCCTAGGACAACGTCCCCTCACAAACATGCTCACCTCATACTCCATGTTTTCACAGACACATTCCTCCTCAGACACTATCCCCTCACAGACAAGTTCCTCCTCAGACACCATCCCCTCACAGATATGCTCCCTCACAGACAGGCTCTCCTCAGACACTATTCCCTCACAGACACTCTCGCCACAGACACCATCCCCACACAGACACGCTCCCCTCAGACACCATCCCCTCAGAGACACGCTCCCCTCAG